TTTTTTTTTTTCCTTGAACAGTCGGCAAACTTTCGACCCACCCTGGCAGCACTGCGCCCCTCATTTTCTTCTCTCCTCACAGTTTAGTGACTCGCTCAGGGCTCTTGTGTGGTCGTTCTACATTATTTGGTTTTCTCTTTTAATTTTTTTTTTTTACTACCTCTGATTTCTGTTCGTTCGTCTAAGGTAATTCTGCCGTCCTTTGGTCCTGCCCTAGTACTAGCATCTCCATTTTCCATTATTCTTCCATTTCTTCCCTTTCCCTCTTTTCCTTTTCCTTCCCTCCCTTCTTCTCCTCCCTTCCCCTCCATTTTTGAAGAATATTTGCTCTTTCGTCTACCCCTCTTCTTCGTTTCCTTTTCATATTCCTCTTCACTTTCCTTCCCCCGTTCCTTGTTCTTGTCGGAAAAGACGGAGTCGGTTTGCGGATAGTTCTGTTAACAACTTCTTGTGCCTTTTCTATCTCTTAGTTTCTTACTTTTTTCTTCTCCACCTCGCGGGAGTTGTCTTGATTCCTCCAGTTCCTGGGTTCGTTTTACGTCTTAACGCATATTTCTCTTGCGCCATCTCAGAGCGACGCATTTTATATTTCCTCTTGTGAAAACCATTTCGCAAGGTCGCCTTTGTTTTATATCACCTGGTGAGTATTATATCTTCTTGCCGCTCTTCTAGCCTTTGAATTTTCTTTTACTTTTTCCTTTGGTCTGTTTCACCCCGAGGGATTGGTTCTTGGTGCGATGTGGAAAGGACTTGCGTCATTGCCTTGCTAGTTGGTGCGCTTCGGGGATCATGGAACGTCTTCCCTGGGAGTGGTGCCTACTTACTCGAAGAGACGAATAATCTCCCAAGCCATTGCTCTTCGAATATACTGCCATCACGTTCTAGCCCGTCAATCGATTGCTTTAGTACCATCAGCGACCATGCGCCAGCCGATCGTTCTCTTCCGCCTTGGCTAGCATCCGACGGTCTGGACGGTCGCTAAAGTGCAACATCCAATGAGCTCAACCTCGTATCTCCAAAATTAAATGTCGAGCATACAGCTTCGTTGTTGCACAGTTTGTTTTCCGGATGAATGAACAGCATCAAAGATGGGGCTGGCTGGGACGGCCGCAATCGATGCCGATAGATCAGGAATTACAATCGACGAATGCGGTTGCGACCTAATGAATGTGTGGACCATGGCTACTCTCCTACCTCGACTTGGGCCTAAAGTTCTCCGACTTCCAACTGTCCTGTCGTTAGACTGTACGACTTCCGGGTCTTCCGTCACAACTTGGAATGCTCCCTTGCCCGTCGAAACATAGCCTTGGCAAGCAAGGCTGAAACAATTGCATCGTTAATTTTGAACTTCCATGAACCAAGCCCTCCCGGGTCACTACATGAAGCGCACACCTTGGGTTCTAATCACTTTTAATTTTGTTCTTTTCACTGTCGCTTTCGAAAACATTTCACTGGAACTACTTCTTAGCTCCATTCACTTGGGTTGCGCCTTGGAAAATTTCTCACTCGTGCATCCTCTTCCCATTCTGTTTTCAATAACCTCCTTTAACTATTTTATCTCAAGTTAAATCACCCCCCCAACACCACTAACCAGCTTTTGGACTAGATTTAGGAAGTGGAAATACCCTCTGATAATTTTCACTTAAACGATCATACGCTTCTCTCCTTGACGATTCCAACGAATTCCCACTCGCACGGACCGTTTTCGGGATAGAAAAGTTTTTTTTTTTTGTTATTTAGGTTTCTGCTCCTTTGCCTGAAATTTGAGGTATGCGCAAGAATCTTCCTGTCCGCAGAGGGGCACAGTTCGAGATCGAGATACTACAAATAGTGGAGTACTCGATCCCGGTAGACGAATTTAATTAACTTGTGTTTATTTTTACAGATATCGTTATAGTTACGAACTCGGATTTACGCCAATATGTCTTTCCAGAACTTCGAATCGTTCCAGAACCAGCACCCAGCGGCCGATGCTGCCGCTGCTGCCCCCGGCGCACCTGCTACCGCGGATACCATGGCCGGCCAGGCCGATCCTACCACTGCCCAATTCCAGGGCCCTGCCCCTGGCGAACCAACGGCCGCTCCCGTTCAGCCCGCTCAGGAGGGAAAGACCACCCTCTGGATGGGTGAACTTGAGCCCTGGATCGACGAGAACTTCGTCCGCAACCTCTGGTTCCAGATGGGCGAGCAGGTCAATGTTAAGATGATCCGTGACAAGTTCTCTGGGTGAGTACACAGTAATCTCAAGCAATGTTTTGAAGGCGATCCTAATGTTGGTAGTAGGAGCAATGCCGGCTACTGCTTCGTCGACTTCTCCTCTCCCGCTGCTGCCGCTAAGGCTCTGTCGTTGAACGGCACTCCCATGCCTAACACCAACCGCCTCTTCAAGCTGAACTGGGCCACTGGTGGTGGCCTAGCTGACCGCAGGTAAGAAGCTCAGATGAATTCGGGACCACTGAACATCAACTGACAACCGTTGTTTCCAGCCGCGATGACCGTGGCCCCGAGTATTCCATCTTCGTTGGTGATTTGGGCCCTGAGGTCAACGAGTATGTACTCGTGTCCCTCTTCCAGAGCCGCTTCCCGTCCTGCAAGTCTGCCAAGATCATGACCGACCCCATCAGCGGCATGTCTCGTGGCTACGGCTTTGTTCGTTTCTCTGACGAGAACGACCAGCAGCGTGCTCTGAGTGAGATGCAGGGAGTCTACTGCGGCAACCGTCCTATGCGTATCTCCACCGCTACTCCCAAGAACAAGGGTCCTGGTGTCGTTCCCGGCGGTATGGGCATGCCCGGTCCCGCGGGTATGTACCCTCCCATGGGTGCTCCTCCCATGGGCTTCTACGGTGCTCCTCAGCCCATGAACCAGTTCACTGACCCCAACAACACAACCGTCTTTGTTGGTGGACTTTCCGGCTATGTCACCGAGGATGAGCTTCGGTCTTTCTTCCAGGGATTCGGTGAGATCACCTACGTCAAGATCCCTCCTGGAAAGGGCTGTGGTTTCGTTCAGTTCGTTCAGCGCCACGCCGCTGAGATGGCCATCAACCAGATGCAGGGTTACCCCATCGGCAACTCCCGTGTGCGTCTGAGCTGGGGCCGCTCTCAGAACAACTCCGGCCCTGCCGGAAGCCCTTACCGCCCTGCTCCTCCTCCGCCTCCCATGTACCCTTCTATGGGCATGCCCCCTGCCCACCAGTATGGCGGCTTTGCGCCTATGAAGGTTGGTGACCCTGAAGCTACTGCATGAGACTCCGCGGTACCTAGTGCAAGCTAGATTGTTAACGAAAATATCTAGTAAAAAAAAAGCGTTCCTTTTTTTGAAAGCCACAGCAGGAGTTTTGCGTCATTTCAATGATGGGTCTTTTGTGTTATAACAAGTCTGCTATTTATCTCTGCGAAAGCTCCCTTCTATAGCTCTGGATGGGCATTCTCTCCTGTGCTACGTATTTCATTACATCTGAGCGCTTTTTTTTATTTTCTTTCCACTTTTTTGTTAGCAAGATTTGAGCTCTTATTTCACAAACGATCCTGCTATTTTTTTCCTTCTTGATGCCTTGTTCAACAAACCCCTTCTGAATTCGTTTACGTTCTCCTTTTCCAAATGCCCCCTTTGCCTTTTCTATTACGTTTGTGGGCCCAGGCCCTTGTTATGCGTATGACACCTAATCGATTCGTTGATGCGTGTCTTTCCCCTTATATCCTTGGGCAGGCATTCTGCGAAAAGTTCCTATTCTCGAAGCCTTTTCTCATGAAGCAGTCAAATTGAATTATGTTTCCCTATGAGGATGTTGCGTCATGCTTTCTGCTAGACTGGCGGTCTGTACAACACTGTTTCCCTTCAACATCTTCTTTCCTAAGTGCAGTTCACTTTATGGAGTCCAATGCGTTCTCGCTCGTTCAGTGTCTGTCTTTTGTGGTTATGCACCGGAGTTCGGTCGGTTAAGGTGACCTATGCTCTGCCTCGTCTGTTCGCCTGCTCTACTCGCTGCTGCACCCGGAGTGTCATCATCTGGGATTGGGTTATCTCTCTTTTCTGAATCTTCGTTATTGTAGCTACTGGAGCTGGAATGAGGTTGCTGTTCTACCTGCCCCCGGTGGATCTTCGGTTGAAGGCTACGCTGCATGTTTTCTCGGACGTTGGCGGCAATCTGTGACATCGTGACTGTGATCTGGGCGTTCTCGTATTTATGATCCATCCTACGTAAATTCGCGTTTTCTTTGTTCTCTCCTTGGCGCGTCCCAGTTGCGTCTGGCCAATTTGTATTTCAGTCTCTTTACGGATGATTCCCCCTCTCGCTACGCAGTGAGCTGTCGCATCTATATGTTAATTCATGCCCTTACCTGCGATGCTGACCACGCTCGGAGTCGAAGATCGCAAGACCATGGGCCTCGATCGTGTATATGTTACTAGATGGCTACCCAATTGAACGGGGCTTTGTTCCTAATCTCCCCCCATATTCGACCTACGTACAATTCGCTTGGCCTAATCTCGTCAACTCTTGAAGTGGTTGTGGTTTTGAGGTTGAGATTGAATGTAATACTACTTCTTGAGAAACGCGGTAGTCATGCTCATTGTTCGACTGATTAACGTCCCTTCACTCGTTCCTGCCCACCCATGTCTCCTTGGGCGTAACCCAGACATGCCCTACACAGCGCCAAATATGGAAGGAGCCTTTGGGGCGTTGATATCGGGTTCGTTCATCTTTTCCCACTTCACCCTTCAATCGTCTCTTCCGGAGGATTCGTTACTCCCTCACTTGCTCATTAGCCCCCAATTTAGTAGTCAGTGCGGTTTCATTACTTCTGATATTCTCTACCACTTCTCAAGATCCTTTGTTCCTCATTTTATTCCACGGCAAAGGAAACAACCATCGTATGTGACGCAGGATGCGTTATGAGAATTGGGATGTGCTTCTCTTCTCTGAGAATTCCAAAGTGCCAATCCAAGAGTTCAAGACACAATGCTTTGTGATCAAAGATAGAGGTACGTACAGTATCCGGGAGCTACACAGACTACACACTAATGTTCGGCCGGCAGGATCCCCTTATCTGCACAGTCCTGCTCTTGTCAATCCGGCGCCGTATTGCCTCCCTCAAGGAAATATGGGTCTGCTACCTGTGCTCACGACTTTCATCCCAAGTGTATCGCCGAATACTCCGTTTCGGGTGTCTGTTCATAGCTGGGAAAGACCTCGGCCTAGTCGGCTAATGGAGAGTCTGCTGCAACCCGATGATGCTTTACTTTTTGAAGTCCGGATTTTCATTGATGGTCTTTTTGTCTCGTGAGTTACACCTTCGGTTGTGAACAGTCATTGAATGGAAGCTAATAAAATGGGTTAACTTACCTAGTGGTAGCGTCTTTGGCCAGCGGACTAACTGGCCCCATGTCATTGGTAAGTAGACCAAGCCTGAGAAGCAAAATCGCCATCTCCTGTGGGCTGGTCTTTCTGATTGATGAAAATGGTCTAGATCTAAGTTCAAGTATGTTGTTCCCCTCAATACCCTGTGTTAAAGTCACAACTTCTGAAACAATGTTTCACTAGATATCGACAAGAGCGGAAATCAGGATAACCTGCGTTTCCCGCCATTTCACCAGGAGATTTTGGAGCAACAGCACTGGGACGCTGGTGAGCTTTACGGTAGGATTAGGGTAGTGATCTCTGAAGGCTTTGCTCGGCCACATCGTAACCCACCTTTTGAGCGTGTTAAAGAAGTGGTTGCTTTTGCCTTTCAGCATGCACCTTTGCGTGAGTTGCCCATGGCCCTCTGCACCCTTCGGTTTTCTCAAAGTTAAAGCACACCCATCTAACAAGCGACAGAGGTATTGGAGTATTCTAGTATTGCTTGGCCTAATGCCTCCATGTGGAGCCGAGAACCCCGTCTCTTCAAATATAACACCAGAGGTGAGCTTAGTGACTTGAAAGAGCCAGAGGATACGCATGCCCACTCGCCCACCCGACATGGAATTCGACAGTTTGCGACCACAAGCAGCCAGATCAGTAACCCGGCAACACACAGCGCCTGGGCATACCGAAGCTATCAAGGGCCTATTCCTCAAATGCAAGGCAGCCTCCGAGAATCACGATGGCCCCAACAGGAGCAGCTTATGCCAGATCCTTTTATCGACCCTTATGTGCTTGATCCTTCTGCACGCCACCGAGGTGCGAGACCCTCTTCGGAGGATGTATCTATGCCGGACTATGTTTCAAGCTCAACCAGTAGTCGAGCTATCTCACACATGACCGGCATTAGCTACGAGCATAGCAAGCATCCAAGCATCATTTCCCCTATTGACGAGGAGTCCTATAACCAGTTTTTCGAGGTCCTAAGTCCTCCGAAGCCGCTGTCCTGCGGTACAAAAGCGCCCACAAACACGCCTTCCGCCACATTGCCTATGGGTCGAAAGCTCTCTGTTGCAGCTGAAGCGAGGTCGGCACCGTATATTAACAATGGAAATAGAGCATCACTCCCAAAAGATAAATCGCATCTAGGTACTAGAGACGTCTCAGAAGCTAGTGTTAAATCCAACCTGTCCGCCGAGCCTGTTACCGATATGGCAGCAACAAGCAAGCTTCCTGTCGGCCTAAATATCCAGGTTAAAGGCAGAAAAGAGGGGATGGTGTCGGATAAGAAGGAAAACGAGATTACGGTAGAAACTCCGCGAAGGGAAAGTGAAAAGGTCCACCATACAGGGTCCAAGACAGTCGTGCGTACCAGTGGAAACCTAGAGACTCCCACTGGATCTAGAAGAAGACGGTCCACGGGTTCTGCTCGCAGGGAAAGTCTCAGTTTTTCTAAAGGAGAGCCGATTCTGCTTTCTCCAGCACAAGAATTGTCTGAAGCAGATGACCTTCTCCGACGGGCTAGTCTCGAAGAACTCCTTGGACCAAAAAGCCACCGTGCAGGTTCTGTAGCCGAAGTGGCCGAGATTGACTAAATTATTCTTATACTTAAGCTTCCATCAAAATTTTCTATGAGCGCCACCCCCAAGAGTTTTTGTTTCTTTTCTTTTTCTTTTTCTCTGTGTCTTTCTGTCGCTCGCTGCTCCTTTGTCTCCTTTGTTTGTCCCCTAAGGATATCCTCGCAGGTTTTAGTTCATTAACTCACTCACGGACGATTATTCCAATAGCTAAACACAGTACAGCTATCAGGGCACTATATCCTCTACAAATAGTCTCTATCCTATGTGCCTTTAGGTGCTGCGTTAATTTGATCAGTATTCAGTAAGACATCAGAGATGTTAGAGGAGTTCAACAATTTTTATATCGGGTAAAGATCTCAAGGGGAAAGAAGACAGGTGTAAGGTGCAGCTCTTGAGGTAACTAACAAGCTATATACAGATGACTGTATGCGTAATGAGTTTTCTGCACCAGAGTATACAAGATACGCGTAAGGCCGAGGTTACTTTCATAAAGTCAAGCTCCAGGGTACCAACTACCTTGGGATCTAGGATGATGGTCATATAAGTGAGCAGAATGCAGCTGCGCACACGGCTTTATACACTTGGCGGGCATCTGATAGCGACTGCAATCATACCCCTTCAAGATATCTCGCATCGCGTAGATCAAGCGGAAGACTCGTAGAGCCCTATAGAAGAGACCGGCCAATACGACACTGAGCCATGAGACAGGCAGTCGCAAAGAGCAAGCGGACCCGAAGAATTGCAACGAACTTCCAGTAGCTACTTGTAGGCGTACTCCGATTGAAGTTTCCTGTAATGAAGGACGAACCAATATCCATTGGAAATTGATACCACAAAAGATCATCGACCAGTTACAAGGTATGAAATCTCAACCAGAGAAACTCGAAAGTAAAATACGATCCGTCCTTTTTGCATGATTTTGTATGCGAATGCTAATGATGCTTGTTCTGTATAACTTTGCTGTTCTACTTTTACATGGAACAGTCTGAAATCTAGATCGGGCGACTTGATGGTCTTCTTAAATCGATTTCCGACGGAGGATACACAGCTGCGGTCATATCTCCATTTTCGGGATCATCCTTTCATCGTTTGAGCTCGTGCTATTGGACGAGTATGGATGAGTGGCGCTCGAATCACAGCTGAAGAAGCATGTGCTGGGTAGGTAGTTGAAGATTTGATACAAATGGTGGAAGAAGACATGGCGGGTTCTGGACACGCATGGGACATTGACCTACTACCGGACGGGTCTAATGGAAAAGTGAGCGACTCATTCTCGTATGTAGAAGGCAATGTTCTTTTTCTTTGCTTGCTGCTTACACCTAAACTTGTGGAGAGGAAGGAGGTTTCAAATGATCAACCAATCTTCGTTACAATGGGCCCTACGAGCATATGGACGTTGCCAACCGATGTACCGAGTACAAGTCAAGCTTTTTACTTTGTTTAGAAGCCAGTCAGGTATCATACTTGCTAAAGCGCATAAACCAATTTTCAGAACAGAAAGGAAAACCTCAGTCTCTCTATCTTTCATAACCAGTACCAGCGGCAGCAGTACATTCTGGACCATCTCATGCTGGATTTCTTCTTGTTTTCGTCTTTTTCCCAACTCCAAAGAAAGAAAGATCTGGATGAGATATTCGAAGACGTAAATATCTTTTCTCAATTCATAAACCCATACCCCGGTGAGGAGTCACTAATGACTTAGACAACAAAAGAGGACCTCAGCGATAACACCATAATCACAAGACAAAGGAAATAGGGGAAATGAAAGGGATGGAAGGGCCTCGGAAAGCTGATATATCTGATGAGCCTTGAGCATTATAAGAGCACAACTAACACTAGAGCAAGATCACTCGACGTCGGCCCTGGGAGCTTAAAGACAAAGATTAACCAAATAATAGATATAGTAATAATAAAAGAAAAAGAATCGAATGTCACGGATGTCACAATAACGCAGCTTGAGTACAAGTGGAATCCATCTCAAGGTCAATCGCGTCTCGGTTAAAAAAGAAAAAAAATGAAAGACATGCAATAACGGATACACTTAACGCCAATCTCAAGGCACATATCCAAGTCATGTCGACAGAGACACACTAAAAGAGAACAGTTGAAGCATATGAGAAAGAGGGGAATTGAACAAAAACCGAATAGCACAAGCCAAAGTTTAGGAATGTACAGAGCAAGGAAGGGTATATGAGAGATAAGAACGAAATATCCGTTGGACTCCTTTACAAGCCATCTCCGGCACCGGTCTCAACCCCATCTGTCGGGTATGATATGTTCGGATCGAACCCAAACCCGGCGGTATCCGCATCTGTATTGAGAAACGTGTCAAAGTCAAAATTTTCCAAGATATCCGGGTTTTCCAGAGCGCTGAAATCAAGATTGAAGGCGGAAGCCTAGACTCGGTTAGTGAGACATTAGGAAATAAAACCATTCATAACAACGTACATCTGGGATACTCAGGTCATTAAATGGCTGTTGACTTTGATCCGGTGGTGGTGGCGGTGGTGGTTGTACAAGAGGTTGGGGTGCAGGCGCAGATGTTGGCTGCTGTGGAGCACTCGTGGCATTTGAGCCGGCCTTGTTGAACGAATTGGGGTGTTGGGGCGTAATCGGTGTCGACGGTGTAGGAGTCGGAGGATGCTCTGCTTCAGAAGAGGGAGTGGCGGCAGTGTTTGCGGCAGCTGCGGCAGCGTTTGCCTTCTTTGGAGGCCGCTAGAATAATAATAAGACACGGCGCAAAAAACTTCAATATGAAAGGAGAATCCAGATATCTCTTACCTTGCGGTTATCTTTGGTCTCTTTTTTCTTCGGGGCGGGCTTATTGGTTTGCTGTGGCGTAGGTGGAGCGGGTGCTGTTTGAGGGGACGGGGGCTGCGTGCGACCAGCATTAGCACCCGCCGCGGGCGGAGCCTGAGGAGGAGGCATTGCGTTGCGCTCTTGGGGCGTTCCGGTTGTTTGGGTCGCAGGGGACTGTTGTGGCGCCATCGGTTGGCCCTGACCACCTTGCTGCGGCGGCCAGCCTCCGCTCGGCACCCGGTTTCCAGCACCCGCAGGGATAGGCTGACCCATTTGAGGGCCACTGAAAGCGGGATTCGAGCTTGGAGGTCGCATTCCGTTGGGGCCTGCCATGCCGTCTTGCATGCTTTTCATGAAGAACGCGCCGCCCATCTCAGGTGGCATCTGGCCACCGTTGAAATTCATTGACGCAGGCGATCCACGACCCTGGGCCATTGCGTCACCGCCACTGGGGGAACCAGGGAGCCCTGTCTGGGGCATCTTCGGAGTGCCTCGTTTCATTTGATCGTTCGGGTTGGGGGATGTGCCCGCCCTGCTGCCTTGGGGAGAGGTGCCTGGTGGCAAAGCCTGCTGCTGCCCTGGCATTGGGGGCTGGCCGTCAGGACGGGCCATGCTATCCTGCTCTTGACGAGCCATCATCAAGCGCCGCTTATTCTGTTGTTCAAGCAACATAAGCTGCATTTGATAATCCTGGAGAGCATGATTCCCATGCTGACCGCCAGGTGTCTGCAAGCCAGCCCGAACCTGGGCCATTTGACCATTCGGTGGATAGTAATCGCCGTTCATCGGGTACATACCCTGGCCATCTGGCAATGGCACCAGGTCCGTCTGATTTGGCATGACACCGGGATTTATCAAACCACCATTCGGCATGCCCTGGTTATTCATTGCTGAGCGAGAGTGGTGAAGAGCTAAATTTTGAGCATATACCTGGATTGACTTCTGCTGCGCAGCAGGGCCCGACTGCTGGAAAGCCTGGAATTGGGCCGGATTCATCGGCCGTGGGTTGAGACCGTTTTGCATTAAAAGCGCTTGCGGATTCGGCTGACCGGGCATGCCCTGTCCTTGACCCCGTCCATTGGGGGCTAGTTGCTGTCCGTTCATGTGTCCACTTTCGAGACGGGGCCGTTTCGATGGCGACGGGGCGTTCTCTGCGGACGACGGGGACTGGGGGCGATGGCCGTTCATGTCTATATCCGAGTGTTCTCTCTGCATCTGTTGGATCATCTGCACTTGCTGTGTTTTTTGGAGCTGAGCAAGCTGTTGTTGGGAGCTGTTGAGTTAAATCAGCACTACATCACTGGCTATTTTTAGGAGCGAGCATTGGATTCCAAGGAAAGCGTACAGGCCTGAGGTATTGTTTTGTAAAACAGTCTTCTGAAGGTTGGGTGCAACCGATCCATTTCGGCGAAGATTGAGCTGCTGCATCTGGGCGGGCATCATCGGCTGTTGTCGTAGTAATTGGTTTTGCTGTTGTTCTCGGAAGCGCAACATGTTCTATACAGATTAGAAGAAACTCAGATCTTCGGCAGACAGTGTAAGGGTCTGTACCTGAGTATGTTGGAGGTACTGTCTCACATCATTGCTGTTCCCTTTCTTGCGCTGGGCCCAGAAGAAATCCCAAAAGAGACTGAACCAATCCAAGAGGAAAGACGATTGCTGGCCTTCGCTAGGAAGATTTGGCCGTGGCAGGTCATCAGGTATTTTAATTTTGTCACCGTCCTTGCCATCTGTCATCATCGTATCACCATCGACACCGTTCACCTCGCCATCGCGACGGTGGCCTGGGCTTGACTTTATAGGCGGCTCAGTGCTCATTTTGATCGAGTCGTCATTCACAAAAGCCCTAGCACACTCGTGATGGCCGCGCTTCAACAAATAATCATAGATATAGGTATTGAGATTGTTAATCATCAACTCGGGGATATTGTTCACATTTCCATCGTTACGAGGAACCGTCGAACCATTATTGATCATGGGGACCCCTCCCACGGGGCCCCCGGCCCCGGGGTTCATCCCAGCTACATTCATCTGGTTCATGGTGGCACTCCAAGGGGCTCAGCCACCCTCACCTATTTCTTGTCGTCGATCAAAGGCGTCGGCGATAGATGGGTTTAACGCGCATCCACCGTCTCGCGGCGCGGGGGCTCACCACAAGATAAGGCGAGGGGCGCGAGGCGATCAAGACGAGTGAATGAAAAACGGAAGACAATCAGACGAGATGACCGATGCTTCCAACTAGATGAGTAACGAATTCGGAATTAGATACCGATGCGCAATGGACCAGAAAGCGACTTTGGGGTCAAGATTTGGACAAGAGCGCGCCCAAACAACTTCCTCAATCAACAAACGTCGAGTATGGTTCCACTTATTGAATGACAACAGAGAACAAGGAAGTGTTGTGAAGATTACCCACAAGGGAAAATAAGCGTGGCCCGCTCAGGAGCAAAGGCAAGCAGGAAGAATCTGCCGTTACTTCCAAGCGCGGGTAGAAGCACTAGACCACGCTGATTGTAGAATATGAAGGACGTAATGAATGGTCATGAAGATATTAACGAGGAAGTATATCGTCGGTCAAGATATCCAGCCGAGAGAAAAATGCGCGGTAGGATCAGCCGGGGGGGTGTGGGCGGCGACAAGCAGAAAGACGGGAACGGCGTTGAGGAGAGGACAAGCCAGTCCAAGTCCGACCAGCCAGACTAAGAGAGAATAAACAAAAGATTACCAGACGATGAAAAATTAAAGATCTCAAATCCCCCTGTAGAAAAAGGAAAGAGGAGACACGGACAGATCCGGTCAGATTAGAGGAAGTAATGGTGGAGGGGGGGGGTGGGAGGGATGAGAGGCAAAGGTCAGGACAAGGTGTAGCGGTGGATCTGAGGTGTTCTGGTGGGTGGGAGGACGTGGATATCAGGCGCGGTGCCTGGAGTGCTGGGCTGTTCAATCACTGCCGGCTGGGCGTGAATCGCTTGTTCGGCGCGGATTATCTATCCCGGAACACGGCGGGAGGGCTGGGAGATGCTATTGTCCCGCGTATTTCTGAGCATGCAATTCTACTTACGGAGGCGGCGAAAAAAAAAGTGATAGAGGAAACGGCAAAGGAAAATTACATACTTACCACTATGCAAAGGGAAGCCTGAAGATAAATGCAAAGGTATAGGGAATGAAAATCAAAGCAATGACTCTAGTTAAAAATTCTCTGCAGATCTGCAGGAATGTGATGGGTACAAGGGTTTAAAGATTATGGCGTAAAAAATCAGGGAAAGGAAAGAGAAAAAGAGAAAAGAAAAGAAATGTGAGAGGCAAGGCAGATAGAGAGTATCTTGGTATTGATTTGAAGAACACGCGCAGAATTGTTGACCCGATCTGAGGTAGTGTAATTCAGAGAGTATAGAGACGAGTGGTCGGGTGGGTTACAAGATTTCACAGCGAAGTGAGAGATACACAATGTAGAAGTTATTTGGTAAAAAAGGACCGATAATTATCTGAAAGCATTTCACAGAGCCATTGGTTTGAAGATAGAAAATAAAATTAAGTTACAAGAAAGAAATACTGTCGGGTTCGACGTGTAGAGATCGAAAAATTGAAGATACTGATAGATACATACATGGATTTAGAACACTCAGGGTCAGCGGGCTTGCGTACTTCCCAGCACAGTATGGACTAATATGGTATGGTGGATCACGTGGCTAACTCCGGCGGATTAGAATTTCCTGTGCAGATCTGCCCATCCCCCAGACTACAAGGGAATCACATCATGTAGTTTGGGGGTGTGGTAATATCGGTCAACCAGACCGGGTGAGCACTGGGATTGCATTGGTCTGTATGCACCTGGGCATCACCTGTGTTTGTTTTCTGTTGACTTATCCGTAAATATAAAAATGTTCAATATAGTTTGATGACTTGGCATAAAGTTCGATAAGGGCGATCATTCAGTTCTGAATATTATTAGCTCTGCGGAAATCCTACTTAGTCTCCATGTTTTCATTATGGCAATGTCATTCACTCAACAATCTAACATTTACCAATTTGTGATACACTTGTTGTTATAATAGACAGGTCAACCCCCTGATGTACATGTCTCTGAAATTGATTACAACCTTGAAACGTTAAACATGATGTGGCAGACCAGCACTGTCCCTTACCATGCCATTCTTGCATTTGTTGCTTGTAAGATGAGAGAATGATTGGCGCTTAACACTTCCAATACCTTTGTTTTCCTTTTTCGTTTTTCCCTTTTCCCTTTTCCCTCTTCTTTTCTTTTCCCCCTTTTTTTTTTTTTTTTTTTTTGTTTTGACTGACTCGGTTAATTGCATATTCCTTTGGAATACTGTCTGTATACAGTCCTTCATTCTTGCAGTCTCCTTGACTATATCATGTATCATTGAATCAGCGAATTTACTAGTTCGTAGTGTCATCTGAAAATACGGGTTATTGTGTCGGCGAGTCAAATGTGATCTGTACCTCTATAAACCATACTACTAGTGTCTTGATTACAAGAGCCAAACTCGCAAGGTGATTAATCGTGGCTCATTGCATGCTCACATGTTCTATCGTTCGACCGAATCGCCAACTTTGATGGTTACTCTAACCTCGTACTAGACTATAATCAAAACACCAACATTGTAGAGGTAATCATCAGAGCCAATGTCTGGTACAAATAGATTCCAGATACCTACTAATGGCAAGAGATGCTATAATTTAGTAAAGAACAGAGACCGTCGAATCCCAAACACCGTACGCCACAACCTTCTACAGCATTCTTGTTTCCATGTACTTATTACTCCTCCTCCGGTGGCATTTCATCTTCAATATATCTCACCAGAGATACCCGCATCTCTGTAGTATCGTCACCCCGCAAAACATCGCTAACAAAATGCGCTTCGACCTGCATTTGAACCTAGAAAGATACGCCAGAATATGTGAGCCCCGGTAGCGTGTAAACCAACGATGTAGAATTTTTCGCGGCTTAGTCTACTTACCATCTCCAACGCACCCCGCAGGACACCACACAAAATATTAGAGAACCACAACTCATCCTGTGCCCTACCATCATCTGGCAACTCAACAAAGTCGGCTAGCGGATTCTCGTCAAAGACAAGAGAAAACTGGTTATTATCGCTGGTCCAATTCGTTACGGTAGGCGAGATGTTAAGAAAGATCTTGAACCCGACCTATTCGAGCATCTGTCAGTCACATATCCTTGAGGTATATGTCTGACATATGATAGATTTAGAGCATACTTTTGCGATCATGTCTGCTGTTTCCCGAAAGTTGGAACATCGGCCGACGCCTGACTTTGCCAGAAAGTCTTCGATAAGTCGCATACCAATATTGTAGCCCATCTTGTCCAGCTGTTTGTTCACCTCCTGATAGTTTGAGTCATAGTCCTGACATAATTGTGCAACAATTGTACCATAAGTCAATGTGACTAACTCCGCATTGACTTTGTCAACCCTCGTTCTAAAAATGTTGCAATATGTTAGTCACAAACCAGTTCGCGCTAGTTTTGCTGGATGCAATCGGGTAAACTATTTGACAAGTTAAAAACGGCACTCAGCTTACTGACTTCCATAGCCTACACCGCATGTTGTTAATGAGAATATCACCAATTCAATATCAACAACAATCAACTTACTCTTCACCGATCCTCGAGGCTTTTGTGGCAGACATTCTCGTTTCGGCAACTTCAATTACTTATATTCCCAGAGAACTAATGCACAGCTTGCAAGAAGGTGTTCCGGCGTGATACGGCAAAAGGCAGGAGTTGAAGGCCCAGCAGGTATCAAAATGTTGTTGATAGATAATCCTCCCCGCCCGAGTCGGTGGATCGACGGGGTACGGGCGGAGCGCATAGTGGACCGGCGTCTATCGCGGCTAACCTGTTGGACGTTCAGCGCTTGCGTAGAACTAGTACTGCCGGGCGGAAAAGATGAGCGTACTCCGGCCACGACGAGGCTCCCCAAACACCAGTTTTGTAGCAGTCAATTGCTATCTTCATACAACTTGTCCTGTACAATCCAGCGCCTTTTCTCGTTACAAGTTTCTGAGAATACTCATTGGGCCAGCAATCCCCAGATCATCCCAGTAACATGTCTGGAGAAAAACGACCTGCCCAAGAAGCTTTTGGGTCATCTAATCAGCTCGTTGTGAAACGGAAAAAGTCCGACGCTGGCTTGGATAATGGTACTGCCGTGGTTAAAAGCTCGTCGCAGAATGGAACACTTGTGCAAGCAGTATGTGTCTCTTCATGATGACTGTACAGAAGTCGTTTTGAGGAGTCCTCTATTGACCGTGCTGGCAGGTTCCCCGCACCAGTGGGCTTGAAGCGCCGATTATGGAGCTAACAGGTAACGAATTTTGTGTTACTGAGGTGGTTCTGTATGCTTAAATAAGATATAGGTCATTCCGGCGAAATCTTTACTGTCCGGTTCGACCCTACCGCGCAGCATATTGCATCCGGTTCAATGGATAGGTCTATTTGTACGTCGCATCTTTTTAAATTGATGTCAAGCAATCGCATGACGACTAATTTTCCACGCGAGCTATAGTGCTTTGGAACACCTATGGACAATGTGAAAATTATGGTGTCTTGTCAGGCCACCGAGGGGCGGTGCTTGACCTACAGTGGTCTCGCGACTCGAGAACGATCTTCTCCGCGTCAGCCGATATGACACTGGCAAGTTGGGACCTGGAAACCGGGCAAAGAATACGTCGCCACGTGGGTCACGAGGAGATAGTGAACTGTCTAGATATTAGCAGAAGGGGCCAGGAATTGTTGGTTAGTGCGAGTGATGATGGTTGTGTGGGAGTCTGGGATCCCCGGCAAAGGGATGCTATTGAATATCTGGAAACGGAACTGCCCATTACTGCAGTGGCCTTGTCGGAAGCAGGAAACGAAATTTACAGTGGCGGCATTGATAACGCGATTCACGTATGGGACCTGCGGAAAAAATCTATCACTTACTCCATGACGGGGCACATGGATACTATCACCTCATTGGAAATTTCGCCAGACTCGCAGACCCTTCTCTCTAATTCTCATGATTCGACAGTGCGCACATGGGATATCCGACCATTTGCGCCAACAAATCGACTTATCAAGATGTATGACGGCGCTCCTATGGGGCTAGAGAAGAACCTCGTTCGTGCAAGCTGGGACCCGAAGGGCGAAAGGATTGCTGCGGGAAGTGGTGACAGGAGCGTAGTTGTCTGGGATTTCAAAACCGGAAAGCTTCTTTACAAGCTTCCCGGGCATAAGGGTACAGTCAATGATGTACGATTTTCGCCGAACAGCGAACCCATCAGTAAGTCTTCTTCCGTGGTCTTAGCTGGCTGCCATTCTAATTGTTCTTACAGTTGTTTCTGGCTCATCTGATCGGACCCTGATGCTCGGAGAACTTGGCAAGTGAGGATACACGGATTCCAGGTTATTATGCATCAACGTAATGTCCAGCACGTACTTCAGGGCACGATTTCATTTTTGGACAAAAATCAACGTCAGACTCAATGTCTTGTGCGGTACCATGAAGGTCGCTTGACTCGACTAAAGACGGCCTACGCATAGTACTACAGCAAAGATGTGCATCGCTGCAACAAGATCAAGTGAAAACACGAATGATATGATTTATACCGCACATGTGAGATGGCATTACCGAGCAGAGGATCTCCAACGACTACTCAGAGATCTAGTAATGACCATGGTTTGAAGGATTGGAGTAGTGGCCGTGTACCAGATTTCGTTCCGTCAATCATGCCATAAAGTGTAACAACTGACAAGTATAAATGTCGAGCGGGCGGCAGTCCACTAAGGCATCAGATTTAGTATTTCATAATAAATATTTTGATATTCTTTGTTTAGTTTTTTTTATTTACCCTAAGAGTCTCGGTTGTCTTTTAAGCAAGTGGCTTTTGATGCACGACTGTGGCTTAGTACCTCCATAGGTTTTAAATACGTGCTAAAGTGAGGTATAAGCTACTAGTAAGAACTAGTAGGCTAGGCAGGGATGTACCAAAGACCATCGGAGGCTTTCCCAATGCTGATTGGTTCTTTGGATAGTTTTAGAGGCTTGTTTCAAATCTAGCTCCATATGCGAAACACTCGCCTGTATCGTTTGCGGCCCGAAATATACGGAGTATACATGATTTTGGCATCAGAAACAGGGAAAGGGGATAGTTGTATACGAATACCAGTCACTCACGATATTCGGATCTGGACTATTCACAGTGTCTTTCTCTCTTGCACAATATATTGTGATGAATAAGATCAACCCATGTCAAAGTATCTACGTCGGGCTAGGCCTGGGAAACGTGGGTCGTCCAGGGGTTCGCTCTAGTTATGGCCACTAGTCTGCTGGGTTTATTGCAATGCTTACTCCGTACTCCGTCCTCCCTCTCAGTCTGAGATCCAATGTCACAAGCCTTTGGGGCTCTGTGCTTCCTTCCTTCTCCCTCCCTGGATCCCCGTCCCTTTTTTTTTTGTTTTCCTCTGACTACTTGAATCTCTCATACATACCATTACTATTACCGTCACTGGCATCTCCCTTCTATCTTGTTGTAATTCATTCTCATTTCTCGGCCATATTAGATCTACTTCTGGTAGCCTGGTGCTGCCCCTGACCTTTCGTTTACTTTTTTTCTTCCTTACTCAAGCCACTTTACCAGCTCTGGAATATTGTTCCGTTTACTTTCCATTTTATATAATCTAAGCTTCGCTCTAGTTATACTATCTCTAACGGGATTACCGATGCGAGTCTCATCTACCTCCGTGACGTCTCCTTAAGCCCTCATTATGGACATTTAGTGGCCAAGGCCATTGTTATTAGCGCAGCCAAACGCTCACAGCGGCAAATCTACCGCTGTTGCATGCGTTGTGAGCTTTATCGTTTTGAGGGATTTGTCGCCGCATATCTGAACGCTTTCGCTTCCACCATTTTGTGTGCCATTTCCCGAAAGCGGAATTAGCTTGTAGCTCATACCGATAAAAGGACAGCAGCGCTCAGTATAGGACGATCTAACAAAGTGCTGACATCGAAACTGTCCGGCGGGTGAAGTTTGCTGGCCATTGCTTTGTATCGCCATCAGCGCAAATGTGATTCCAGTGACAAGTTATTCAACATGGGATCAGTCCTGTTACCTCAAACAGAATCGTCAAATTCGTATCAGTCGACCTCTCGGGCATTCCTTGGTTCATCTTCAGACTTCGGATACATTGCAAACAACTATGTTAGAAGCTCCCCAGGCTTCCAGGGTAGTCGTGTGCCGTCCGCATCAATGAGACGTGGCGAATATATAACCAATGGACAACGAACTCCTGCTAATAGCGCGGGACATCAGGGGCATCGCATATCTTCAGGGCCTACTTCATCGCACCAATTCGCTATAAGCTTGCCGCAATCATCATATGCACCAAGGGAAACTTATTACAGAATCAACACACGACCTAGGCCAGAGCAGACCGATTTTGCCGACAGAAGCCAGTCGTACATTAGGTCGGAACAGGGAACTCAGGATAATTTTCATGCGCAAAGAGACGTCGGTAGCTCCAATCGTCGCTTAAGATCGTTCACCACGAGGCTAAAAGAAAAGAATACGAGACGACAGCTTGTCACACTTGCCATATCTGCTATTTTCCTAATCCTAGCCCTTTCTCTTTGTAGGTTTGGGTTCGATCTAACCTTCGGCGCTAAAGATATGCTTACCGAATGATACAGTTTTTGCGTTCGCTGTCTCCAAATCGCACCTAGGCCACGAACTTCATATACTTTTGATATTCATGATTCTGATCCTTATTGTTGTCTTTTGCCACTCCCTCATCCGATTTTCAATGGAGGTTTTGCGAGGTTCCAGATCTGCTGTGGCTATGAATCGGATACCAAGCAGGGCAGGGCCAACTGGCTACGCTCAGCCAGAGTATCCCATTCAAGTCATTCTCGCTGGGGACGAGGATATTTTGACTGAAAACAATGGTGCCAGCCGGAAGAAGGTCACGCCCCCACCTCCAGCGTATGGCCTTTGGAGAAGTAGCGTGGTAAGTGATATATTAAGACACTCTTCGACTGTCCTCTCACAAATCTGTCTGGCTAATTCATGCATCCCAGAGAATTAATCCAGACCTACTATATTGGCACCGCGTAGCCAGCAATGCCCCCTCTTTGCCGCAACATGCAAACGAGGCCCAAGGCTTGGGCGGCAAGACCCCATTACCACGGCCCCCCAGCTACACTTCTGACAATGGTATCGATTATGTGATTGAAGCACAACCCCGATCGATTACTCAAGGCCCTTCTGCTGAATGACTCGGACGTCAATGATAGTCTTTATGTGGAGCTAGTCGCCGCCTCATCTGATGTCGTTCAGCCTTTACGTTTCTACAAAAAACAATTTCTTTGTCCGCCACATCATCACCATTTGCATATCAGCTATTATTTTGTTAAGATATATCAGGAGGTTCATTGGGTGTTACAATATTTGTCTTGAGCGGGAGTTATCGGGGCAGGAAAGCAACTAACCATACATAGCAGTGCTGGTCAGTCTATAGCATCATGTTCATCTTCTTCTCATATGTTTTTTTTTATAGCGTTGGCCGTTCCTTATTTCCTAATTTTATATCTATTTCACACTTTATACTGTAAAATGTGAATGAATGTAAATATTTAGTGCTCCGTATCGAAGATTTGTGAATATCCGACAGGAAAATTGTGGGCTGTAGCAGACATACACCGGACTATTAGCATATCTGGCGGTTCGGAACGGCGAGCTGGATTTCTCACGTGCACGTTCGCTACCACCATCACTTAAGCAACCATTATACCTCAGGAAACTCCAAAAAGGACTAATTTTCTCCGCCAGTGAAACCTCGCCTGTAACGGCTTACAATTGCGCTCCCATGCCACCTGAGGCAGTTTTATTGCTGCCGTAATGCGGTCGGGATGTTGGTACTTACAGATGCCCTTCCACCGTGCAGAATGGGTGATGAATTGGATCTTGTTTCTCTCGCTGTGGCTTGCCATGGCTTGGGGTATGAGGACAGATCAGCTTAATGAACTCAGGTAAGCGCTTCTTATTAATGTTGCTGTTGCTGTTGCTGTTGTAGTTGATATAGTTGGTATTCAATTCATGACTGACATGGATTCACATTCTAGAAAGGACACTGAGCATATGTTCTACCACGGTTTTGACAATTACATTACGCATGCCTTTCCTGAAGATGAACTACGCCCGCTATCGTGCCGTCCGCTAGTTCGCGACCGAGATACCCTTGCGAATGCGGGATTGAACGACGTTCTAGGGAATTACTCTTTGACCTTGATCGACAGCCTATCTTCACTAGCGATACTGTCATCGAGCCCAGACGATGGTGCAAGAGCTTGGGCACATTTCCAGGATGGTGTGAGGGACTTTGTGAAGCTGTACGGTGATGGCTCAGATGGTCCTGCTGGCCAGGGCGAAAGGAGCCACGGGTTTGACATAGACAGTAAAGTTCAGGTCTTCGAGACGGTCATTCGGGGACTAGGTACGGGGTTCTATTCTACAATAACTAACTTAAATCTGACATCGGATCCTTACAGGCGGACTACTTAGCGCTCATTTGTTTTCTGTGGGCGATCTTCCCATTACGATATACAGCCCTCCTGAAGCCGAGGTCGCATTCGCTAAAGCTTGGGATAAGACTCCGTTCCCCAAAAATAGGCACGGAATCAAATGGGAGAATGGATTCGTTTACAATGGCCAGCTTTTGCGACTTGCTGTTGACCTGGCGAATCGTCTGTTGCCGGCCTTCTATACTGAGACTGGTCTTCCTTATCCCCGGGTCAATCTTCGATATGGAGTCCGACGGCACCCATTCTATGCAAACTCGCCGCTAAATGCCGCCTTCTCGTGCGACAGTACTAACGACCACGAGAATTGTAAGCCTCGTCGCATTCCTTTGGTAGAAACGACGGAGACATGTAGCGCAGGCGCTGGCAGCTTAGTCTTGGAGTTTACTGTGTTGAGCCGGCTTACCGGAGATGGCCGGTATGAGGAGTTAGGTAAAAGAGCATTTTGGGCGGTTTGGACGAGAAGAAGTGATATTGGGTTAGTTGGGGCAGGTATCGATGCAGAATCGGGTAAATGGGTTCACCCTTACACAGGAGTAAGTTTTCGAAAATTCAAAGTTAATGATACGGAGCTAAAATTTCATGAACCTCAGATCGGTGCAGGGATTGACAGCTTCTTTGAATATGCTTTCAAATCGTATATCCTGCTGTCGTCGGGGGAACGGTTTCCCCGCGATCTCAATAGCTCGTGGCATGCCTTGGACAATGATTTTCCAACCCTGAGCGAGTACGAGAATTCTGCAGAGGCCTTTTTGCAAGCCTGGCAAGAATCACACGCTTCGGTCAAGCGTCATTTGTATCGCGGAGAAGGCTATCAGCACCCACATTTGATTCAAGGAGATATTTTCACTGGCGCCACGCGGGCGTTTTGGATCGATAGCCTGAGCGCGTTTTACCCAGGTCTCCTGAGCTTGGCAGGAGAGTTAGATGAGGCAGTAGGGATCCATCTTCTCACAACGGCTGTTTGGACCCGGTTTTCAGGTCTCCCTGAAAGATGGAATGTCGCGACGGGGGATATAGAGGGGGGCCTGGCATGGTACAGTGGCCGGCCAGAATTTGCTGAATCAACATTTTATCTCTATCAAGCCACCAAGGACCCTTGGTACTTACATGTTGGCGAGATGGTACTTCGTGATCTTAAAAGACGGTGCTGGACAAAATGTGGCTGGGCTGGCCTTCAAGACGTCCGCAGTGGTGAGCTCAGTGACAGAATGGAAAGCTTCTTCCTAGGCGAGACAACTAAATATCTGTATTTGCTCTTTGACCCTTCGCATCCTCTGAACACCATCGACCTGCCGTTTGTGTTTTCCACAGAGGGCCATCCACTCATCATACCCAAGAGTACAACAACTGCCCAGCAACCCCGCAAGACACATTTATCAGTCAGCAAGCAGACCAATATTGCTGTTTGTCCAATAGCGCCATTGCCTCCTCTTTTTGGGCTCTCATCAACCGCTGCGCGTCCTGACGTTTTTCATGCTGCCAACTTGGCTCGGCTACATTTGATGCCTAGCAGAGGGCCACCGGAGGGACCTATTCTAGACTATGCGAAGGGCCGCCCAAGCGTGACAATGTCTGATTTGTCTTCACCGACGAATTACACATTCTTCCCTTGGACTTTGCCAGCCGAATTGGTACCGTTCAATGCAACGAGCTCGCCAATGACAATTCGCCCCACACTTGACATTTCATTCCCATCTCTTCCTGGCATGTTCTTGGGATCCGGCTCCTTAGAGCGAGTCCAAGATGGCATTCTCATCAAGGCCATCGGAGGACTCCGATTGAGCATGGTTCAAGATGTTCCCTCTCAGGATGAGGCTGGCACGAAAAATACAGAGTTTCGAGTACAGGTGATCAACAATGTACCACTTGGGAAGGATGAGAAGGTATATATCTCACGGGAGATCACATTCGATGTCCTGGATCCCACTGATCCGAATTTCACTCGCGTGCGCGACTCCGCAATGATTGACATCGTCATTGACGTTATCCCAGAGAACCTCCGCCCAAGGAACCATTCAGACGATCCTCAGGGGTCGACTGCTGAGCATAGCCCAAAGCATATCGTCGGCGAGACCTCCGCTGACGACAAACTGGGAGCCGTAGATCCGTCTGCGTCGAGTGTAAAGAGTGCTTTATCATCCTTTGTCAGTCATGTGTCCTGGTTACTCTGGGACGAGTCACAACCCCAGTCGGCCTGGCCGTCTGCGGAGAAAAAGTCGTTTCTACGACTAACGTTACCCGCTGCTATGGCTTCTGGCTTAGGCTCTGCGCCCATGCCGGATGTAGAAGATTCCTCTACATTTTCTGTGAAAGGAGATCTCCCTAAAAGTCGTCTCACATGGTCTACGATCTACTTTGCTGATGAGCTCTGTGACCATCGGATCCTACGTGACATCGCACAAAGTCACCAAGTGCTTGTCATCAAGCGAGGCGGGTGCAGTTTCTCGCAAAAGCTGCGGAGTATCGCTGCATATCCACCCTCACGACATGCACTAAGGCTCGTCATTGTTGTCTCCTACGACGAGGGGCCAATCGACCAGGATCCAGAGTCCCAAGTTAATCCTTTCTCGGGCCTAGCCGCCGTCCGCGCGGAGCCGTCTCTTGTTCGGCCATACCTTGACGAAGCTCAAATGACCGCCGGGGGGGTTCCTCGTCGTCATCCAATCAGCCTAGTCATGGTCGGTGGCGGAGAGGAAACATACGAACTACTCCACCAGGCCACCGGCGTCGGCATCAAGCGACGGTACACTGTGCGATCGCAGGGCATACCAGTTAATAACCTATATATCATCTAGATAGTCACATAGTTTTGTATAACTACTGGAACACCAGAGTCTCCATACCATATGGTGAGAAAAATGTAAGGCATGAGTACATTCCTGTACTCTTTCACCAGGTACAAAATTGGCGCTGGCCATGATTCGTCGCCACTCTTTGCGCCACAGCATGTTGATTGGTGCAGTCCCTGAGTAACAACTTCTTGGTTCTGCCGGGCGGCCTGGAGGTAGAACCCGACTTAGATGGAAGATGTCTTTCTTACCGAGTTATGTCCGGCGTATTATATAATTGAGACCGAATTTTTTGAAGACCAACATTGGTTTTCGATTCACGTAAAAGATAGAGAAAAGAAAGGAAAACTAAAGTAAAAGTAAAAAATAAAATAAAAATAAAATAAAAAAAAAGGGAAAAGAACGGAGACAGCATGCAGAATCTAGGCTGTCATAATATCCTCTGTTTCCCCGCGTACTGGGAGGGAGTTCATATGGACTGCTCAGCCAGGAACCGAAATCTGGTTCAGATGGCGAAGTTCCAAACTTTCCACGGAAACCACACTGCCTGAGCTCCATTTGGAAGAACCGAAGAACAAGATAAATTTATCTCCACTTGCTATCGGATGGGTCCTCTGCATATTTAAATACATGCTTGATTTTCCCTTGCATCAACCGTCTTCTCTACTTGACACTCTCTTGACACTCTTGACACTCTTGACACTCTTTGACTCTCTCTTAACTATTTTTTTACCCTTCTATCATTTGGGGGCTCTCTAAACAGTCATTCAAGCATAGCAGACTTTATAATATAACATACGCAACAAGCACTCAAGATGCATATTCAGGACACAACCATCGTTAAACCCCCAACATTCAATCAACCCGATATCGAACTTGACTCGACAGCTCACACAACAATCACAATCACTACCAACCCCCACCCCTCGGACAATAGTACAACGACCCCGCAACAAACTAAACCCCGCCCGCTTTACTTTGCCTACGGATCCAACCTCTCCTTCACACAAATGCGTCTCCGCTGCACATGCGACCCTGATCTCTCATCTAAGCCGGTCGCCATCGCCCGCTTAGATCATTGGCGCTGGTTGATCTGCCAAGCTGGCTATGCGAATGTGATACCACCCGCTGAGTTACGTGTTGGCCGGGAAGCGGATGAGGGTGAAGACGTACCTGTTTCTGGGGATGACGATGCGGTTTATGGGGTCTTGTATGAGATGGACATCGAGGATGAGCGGTTGCTTGATGGCTACGAGGGTATTGACCGGTCGGCGCTGCCGTCGCGGGCTACGCATAAGGTTCCGGCGCATATTCGACCGACGGAACAAGGCCATGGGGACTATAATAAGTGGTATGTTCCGGCTACGGTGACGGTGTGGTTGGATGAGGAACAGAAGAAACGGAGGGAGCGTGGAGTTATCGAGACCTTAGTTTACGTGGACGAGGAGAGGGTGCGGGTAGGTCCCCCGAGAGACGAGTACATCCCGCGGATGAACCGTGCGATCCGCGAGGCGGAATCTTTAGGATTCCCTAAGAAGTGGGCAGATGAGGTAATGAGAAAGTCGATCCCTTTGAATTAGGCTGTCATTGGTTTTACCTTGCATAGATAATGTTTCGTGGTGATGTTTGCAACTAGACAAGAGTTGATGACTGAATGATTACAATGGTACAACTTATTTTTTTATAACCACGTGCGATGCAATAAGAAGTTGCCATATTATCGCTATCCATATGCAGAGTCTATAGTATGCTCCAGCAGTAAAAGTGTGATACGAAATTAGATACGCATTCACGTTTCCCTGCATGCCCTAGAAAACAACTGTATGATGTATATCATTGTTCCGACTTCGTCTAACCCGGTATTCCACCCGACGAGCGAAGGTGACCTCTTAAAACGAAAAACGCCGAGGGGTGGAAGGGCAGGCATTGTGCTTCTTAATTTTCTTGAGACATACAGCCCTTCCAATGAGATGCAGCCCATTTCATAATCATCGCTGCATTGTACCGACCGGTCGAGAATCGAACCCGAACGCCTGGTTGCGGGGAAGCGGATACATGCGTATTTTTTCTGTTTTCTTTGGTACAACGAAGCCCGTCTACGGGCAGCATAATCATAATGATCAGGTAAAACAAGTGTCGTTGGTCGTCAATTAATGCTTTTCTTCCTGGCCAGAAAGGAGAGTATAGACCGGAGCAGGAAGCTTTTCCCGTCCCTTAAGAAACTCAAGCTCGAGAATGAAAAGGAAGCTCATGAGCTCGCCACCCATCTTCTTAATAAGTTCACCCGCTGCCCAGGCCGAACCACCTGTTAAAATATAGTCAGTATTGCTTATTCCTGAAAAGGAAGACTGTCTATATATAAGAAGAAAACACACCAGTTGCAATTATGTCATCCACCACGATCACCTTCTGGCCAGGCTTGATCGAATCAGCCTGCATCTGGAAGAAGTCCTGGCCGTATTCCTTCTCGTAGGCCTGGGTTTCACATGGTCCGGGCAGTTTACCCTGCTTGCGCACAGGGACAAAGCTCGCGCCAAGTCTCAAAGCGAGGCTGGGGCCGATAAGGAAGCCGCGGGCCTCGAGACCAACAATAACATCGGGCTTCTGGTCGCCGTGGTTTTGAAGGATGTGCAACTCTAGACTGCGAAGAAGGGCTTCATGCAAAGTAGGATTGGCAAAGATGGGTAAAATATCTTCGAACAGAATTCCAGGAGACGGGAAGTCGGGGAACTGGCGCAGAGCGGCGCGCAGGCTTATTTTAAGATTGGCGAGTTCGGCGGTGCGGGTGGAAGAGGAGGGGGACTGTCCGGCGACTTGGGCGGCGGCGGCATCAGGCTGTTGGGAAGAGTTAAGAGTTGGTTGGGACATGATGAGAAGAAGGGGAAAAGAAAAGGGAAGAAAAGAAGGAGGAATAAAAGGCAGGAGGGTGAGTGTGGTTGAAAAGTAAAATAGTCAATTCAAAGTGATAAGCACGAGCGGGAGGGAACAGGAAAAAAAAAAATTGACCCCTCGAAGATCTTGCGTTGGCGTATGAATTGTGAATGCCGATGTATTTTACAGTATTACAGCGAAAAAGTACTCCGTACTTTACCCCTCTCAACACAATCGACCGGGCAATTACTGTATTTATATTGAAGATGTGTTGTATGTTATGATTTCATTCCAAACTGAAGAGTAAATCTATAGATCTCTGTTTGTCTGTTCATCGGTACCAGGCTGAGGGACTCAAATTGTCAAAACCCAAGCCATATCTCGCGTCTTTCTTTGCTAGTTTTCGATAATACCTCAAATACACGCAGTGGAAACTAAAATATGTACCCCTCTCGATGACTTGTTTCGTTGTTAAAGGGTCTAGAATCCATCAATCAGTCACTTCACAGTGAATCAATTGATGCTGACATGTTTTTAGTATTGCTCCTGCTGATCTACTAATTGTTCCTAGTTTACCATGTTGTTACCCCTTCTACTCCCATTTGCCAGGACCAATGGTCTCATACTGATCCATGATATATGTACAGACTACTAGTACTTCAGCCCCTCCCCATGAGCCATGATGCAAGTTTCTTGCGTTGTCTGCAAGCCTGCCTTCTTTTTTTTTTTGTCTTTTTTCCTTCCCCCCTTCTCTCCTCTTTCCCCTTCTCTCGGTGGCACTCCTCCACAGGCAATAGAATGGAGGATAGTGAGTAGTAGTGTTGCCTAGCCTAACCGTTTCAATGAATGAAACAAAGAATTGCAGTATTTAACATGAACGGTTCAGTTCGACGTGAATATAACACTAATCTTGTTATACATATCGGCGGATTACACGACACAATCCACACATGCGGTCAGGGCTATCAAGTAGTGGATTGGATCAACAAGCCACGATGGATCCCCCGGCTAGGAATGATTGGACTATCATTCCCTATCTGGTTTCCCTGAACTCCATAACCACCAATATACTTTTCTGGAAATTAGACCGATTTTCCAGTCTGCCCACCATCCGCCAGGTACTCCGATCCGTTGTGAGTCAAGGCGATAATAGGACTATTACGACTACTAATCATAATAGTAATCAGTATCTCTTTCTGCACGGATCCAATGCATCTCTTCAAGTGACATAATTTAGATCAAGCAAAAATGGTACATGTTTAAGGAATTAATACAAGCTACATCGTCATCTACTACTGCAAGAGGAACTGACGCATTACCAACAATAGATCATGGCCTCATGTCAAGAGATTTGCCACATTATTGTCTTACCCCTGTAATGCACCTCCTCCCTCATATGGCTGTCTCTATTTTCATATTTCGTGTGTGACAGACCCATCTCGACTATTACTAGGTTAAAATTATCATGCAACCCTCGGATTTTCCGTATCATTTTCGCACCTGGTTTCTAGATTCACTAATACTACTGTAGTTCCTCCCCAAACCCTCCAAGCCCCCGGAAATACCTCATATTAGTGCATCCACAAATAGTATCCAAATATCCAAAGAGACCTGACAGCAGACTACTTGTATGTAATCGTTAAGATTGAAAAAATATATCTAAAGAGAACGCCCAACCATTTCCATCTTACTGAAAGCCCTTTCCTCCATGCTGAAACTCACTCAGCCTGCATGACGCTGTCCCTGACTACGACACATCTACAGGCATTCCGACTAATCATAACTCAGAATTGGAGGAATACCGCTCACCTCCCCACAATGCAGCTCAACCTCTGCAGCCACCTGCAGCACCGAGGTAGCCATCACTGCCAATGCATGTCGCTGACCACGACGCACGGATGTCCATATTTCTGCCTGGCTTTTGCCTGGGTTACGGTCCCCTTGGCTTTGGCGACGAGATCAATATTGCGTATGCAACTCGAAAATACCCCAATTGTGTTCCTTGCAATGAGACATTGTGAGTTGCGAGAGTTCAATTCAGGATAAATAATAGATAAAACTGGGGAAGAAGGCAAAGTGAAAAGAGAAAGAAAGTAAAAAGGGAACCGGGAACCATCAAGCAAAAAGAAAAGCCGAACGCGGGGGTCGAACCCGCAACCTTGAGATGCCGTGACGACTAAGAGTCTCACGCTCTACCGATTGAGCTAGCCCGGCTATTTGTTGAGTAACAAACTTAACTAAATGTAAAATAAGAGGAAAAGAGAGCTTAGAGTCCTGAAAAAGGATCAACATACGGCTAGCTACTACTACTACTACTACTTTTTTATACATCGAGTCTGCGCCTACTAGACCACGCTACTGTCGTAATATCCATGCTTACCATGGTTCTCCTATAGCCGTATATATTTACATTTGAATAGCACTAGTCTGGTGGCAAGCTAGCAATCTAGCACAGGCTGCCATCAGCCATCTTCTGGTAACTAGTTAATCAAAGTTAGTCATACTAAGTTTGTAAGCATTATCACGTGTAACTGCACGGACCACCTCGCTTAACAATTATTCATATGTTCTCCGGGCAGTGATCTTCCCGCAGTTTTTCTTCTCCTGCTGTCTTACCTCATGTCTTTCAAGCTGCACTTCTGCTCAGTGCAGAAGTGCCACTTAAAGCCTAATCTATCAGATGTGATATGTACTGTCTTGTAATCGCCATTGCTCAAAAACACTATGTCTCCTGCACCTGTCGCTGCCTCTGGGCAGCAGGACCCCCAACTTCAGACCCTGGCGAAAGCTTTCGAAGCTCTTTTGCTAACCACCCAGCAATTTATCTGCAAGGAGAGAAGCTTGCAACAAAAGCTGGAATATGCTTATGACGAGGTAAGCATCCTTGTCCTTCTCAACTCCACACAAAGCTTTCTGCTCCCTCTGCCTCAAATGATGAGAAAAATCGATTAGCTCTAGATCAGGAGTCGCATTTGCGGCGGTGACGGATAAGTCATGTATTATCTGATGAGGCATCTCAACAACCCCCCCTCTTCTCCACTTACATTAGTCGTGCTATCGCTGAAGGGTATCCTTGTGCTAACGGCCACCTTAGTATATGAAGCTCGCAGGTCGACTTCCCAGCGGTCTTGACACTCATGTCAAGATTATCTCAGAGAAGATTCGCGGTCACTCCTCCGAATATGGGAACCAAAAGCCCGTGTCCTTCAGTCCTCCTGATATAGTAAGAGCACTAGCAGAGTCTGGGAATGTAGGCAACCAGACGCTCAAACCAATAGCGGACGGGGTGGTGTGTTACAAATCTATCCTGAATTCACAGTGTGTCCCCGACCTCAACCCATGTCTTGTTGCCACTAGGGCCGGAGCCCCTGGCTCTTTAGAAAAAGACTTCACCACCAAAGGCACTCAGGGAAATCTGCACTGCCCATTCGCAAAGTCTAAGAATATGCCATCTGACAATGGGATGGCTAATGGGATTGAGAATCCTTTCAAGATCCAGAATAGTGATACGTGTGGACACGAAAGTTTAGACCCCATAAAGGCTGAACGAAATGATAGACGTTCTAGTCAGACTCCTTCGGTTAGGACATCGACCACTCAATGTCCTGTTGCCCGGTGCCCTATTAGATACTTAGACCAACATAGCCCGGAAGAAATAGCCGACTATGTTGAGAGACACAAACACGAAATACCCCGAAGCCATGCAATTTGTGTCCAACGTTATCAGAAGGATTCCCACAGCATGCGGCATCTAGATGCAAAGTATGGTAGTCTCATTAATATGATCCGAGGGTTATCCGTCAAACATCAAGCGTTCCTCCCGAACCGTGGTAATAGCGGCGCGCCGACATCCAGTTCCTCTGCCGAACGAGTGGAAAAATGGGCGGAAGAGGTTGGCATAAATTCGGAGATGCAGCCCTCTATCAAAGAGGACGAGACAGAGAACGACGATGGGAGGGAGGGCCGCTTTGACCGTCCGCTACGCGAGGTTCGCGTTGGCGAATCTCCAAGCAGGCCTTGGGGAATCCCTGTCCCGATGCCCTTGCCTCCTTCAGCATCGCCCCCGCTTTCGCCTCCGCCGGCGGCGGCCTTACCTGAGAGATCTAAGAAGCCGTCTGAGGAAGAGCCTATTAGGGTCTCTTCCAACCCGCCCCGTGACTCTACTCAACAAGCGCCGACGACGGCACCCAAATCTGGTCGTTGCCCTTTCGGCCATGGTGTGGCTCAAGCTGTCAATACAGCGCCGGAGACAGAAACCATTCGCGATCATGGGAAGAAGAACGGAACCATTGAAACCGCTGAGCAGGATTTTGGAGAACAACCACAAGCTCATCCTCCCCTAACTAACTCGCCGGCCAGTATCGTATTCAACGGCCCTGTGTTCTTCGGCTTTTCCCCGGAGCAGACTTCTTCTTTCTTGCAGCAATTGGGATCTCTTGTCAATAAACAGTGATATCCATGAATCGTGCCTTGTAACTGTTGCTAGCGTTCTCTTAGGTGTCTCATGTTCTAATTGTGAATAAGATGATGACGACGCCATGACTATCAGTGCATGTTTCTGCCACCTCATCGACCATGTGTGCATACATATGCTTAGTGTACATACCATGTCTTTACCCTATATATAATCCTTGTTTGAAACGCGATACCCCACTGGCCAGATCAACACATGAATATCAATTTCCAGTGATGAACAGCGCTTTCACGGAAGTAACAAGTCAATTCTAATCCCGGGATAATATGTATGGACTACTCAAATCTAGGGTAAAGCTAAGATACATGCTTTGCCGTCTGGAAGTTTCTCGATCTCATCCTCTCTTCTACCAGCTCGTGTGCTTCTTTGGAGAGATCAGTCAAAGCCGAACAACACTTCATATCTCTACAGAAGATGGCACCTAGTTTTTCTAGAACAATGCACCGTTCCTCCATTGTCAAGGCATTCCGAACTGCTGTGTCGCTGGTTGAGAGTTCTCTATCCAAACCCCATACACCTCCTCCCCCTGGGTAACCAATGCGACGGGAAACTGAGAATGCCGGCTCCAACTTGTGTAGCTCACTACACCTCCCATCGATCCATAGCCCACCCGAGAGATGTGAAGGATACCAGGAACCCCCGAATGGTCGAAGTTGTTCACAAAAGTGATTTTCTTCATCGCGATCCCGGGATCTCTCGGATGAGTTGAGGCGGTTAATATTCAGGTATTGCAGTTCAAGGGCGCTTAGCTCGGTCATCCATATACCTCCTGATGAAGGGTAGCATGCGGCTCTACCGGTACTGATATCATAGCGCGCTGTGGGCAGAGAACAATTATGGTCCGCAATTCCTATGCTGATGACCTCGTTGAAGGAGGAAGAATGTTTGGTGGGGTAGATATGGTGTCCATGGAGGGTCTGGTATGAAATCAAGGCCAGCAACGATATAGAGGAGGTCACAAAGATGGTTTTGATAAAGGTGTGGGCCAGTGAAATCCAGGGCTTATCCGGAGATGGACTTGTACTATTTTGACCGTGTCTGCTATTTTTGTTCTGGGATTTGTTCCTTCTACCTGCGTGGGCCATGGGCGGTGCTCGTATGGAATTCAACGGTCTCTGTTCGTATATACATTTAAGTACTTATGTGTACAGTTAAATCAGTGGTGATTGTCTCGTTCGCGTTGTGGATCATTGCCAAGAACTTGTCGACGTCAAGACTGACATGCTTTATCTATCTGGCTGTGACGGTATTTCATCTCCATCCTCTCTCTCTCTCTCTCTCTCTCTTGATGGTTTTATCATAAACCAACCATCCTTGCAGAATGTGATTTCATTCGAGAAAGATAACCTATAACTCAAAGGAGTTAAACTCCTTTGATCAAAATAACAATGGAGTATTGCATAATATGTATGCATATATATAGAGAGAGAGATATATATATATATGTCCCGATATCCATACCTACGTATACCTATACATAGTTCAACTAGCAGAAGCCCATTGATACACGCCTAGTATATAAAATCCAGCCCCGATGAGAATACACTGTACGTATCTGGTAGCTTACAAGAAGGAAAAAGGAAAAGAAAAGAAACGCCCTCCGGGAACAAGATAAAAAGCCCCACCGATGTCGGGAGGGGTCGAAATACTACAACCCCAACTCCCCAACTCTCCGACCATCAATCACCCAAGGACACTCTTTCCCGCGGAATACTTCCAGTATATCCAAATAAATAGGTTCCAACCCCTCCACACATGTTACGGATCAGTTCTCGTGTTCTTTCCGCTCGAATCGCCCACCGTCAGCTTCTCTCCTTATCACCAACCTCTGCTTTTTCTCGTATTCCCCAACCTCAATTCCCCATTCAGATCGTCAATATGTCTGGCATGACCCCCATCTCCGCCGCCGGTGCTTGCCCTCGTGAGTCATCTCTCCTCCCCCCAATTGCTCTCGATCCCATCCCGCCTCTGTAGAGGATGCATGTTGCTCTTCAATTGCCATCACCCCGTCAGATCGTACAAGATTTAAGCTAACAAGTTGACTCGTTGCAGCTGCTGGCCCCTACGTAAGTCCTCCAACCGAACAGCAAATCGTCTATATACATTCCCTCCCTTCTTCATAGTCACGCCGAAAAGAAGGCGTCCAACGTTGTTGACATTTCAATCATCCTACAGTCCCAAGCCATCCGTGCCAATGGCCAGATCTTCGTCTCCGGCCAGATCCCCGCTGACGCCTCTGGAAATCTTGTCACCGGAAACATTGGCGATTTGACCCAGGCTTGCTGCAACAATATCAAGGCTATTGTCGAAGCTGCCGGTTCTAGCGTCAACAAGATCGTCAAGGTCAATGTGCGTATAACCTCTCATGCTTTTCTCCCACCCCTCTCTCCTTCTATCTCATCTCCCCTCCTCCGTTAGTCAACAACCATCCCACCACCCTTCTCCCCTGTTCTCTGGCCTCAAATCACAAGCGGATTGCGGCTGACCGAGATACTCCACCAGGTATTTCTTACTGATATGGCGAACTTCGCTGAGATGAACGCTACCTATGAGAAGTTTTTCACTCATAAGCCCGCTCGCAGCTGTGTTGCTGTTGCCCAGCTCCCTAAGGGTGTGCCTGTAGAGATCGAGTGCATTGCTCTCGAGTAAACCAAATCGTTTTTATCTACATGACATACAATCAAAAGACAATCTGATGGCCTGGCTACTGCTACCCTGGATGATCATTTGTTGGTAATTGGGGTCTCATTCATTATAAGTAGGTTCTTTGTAAATACTACCTGAAGACAACAAGCGCATCGTAACTTCAAACAGACGGTGTGGGAATCATCACGCGCATGCAAAGTGGCCAAGCGATGCTGGATCCTACTCTCAAAGGCAAAAACAAACTCAGTGTAATAACAATAGACGTCCTCATAGCAGTCATCGTCGCCCCAAAGTTCCCGTCATCCTTCCCCCACCAGCCATCAGGCTTTGTTTCACAATGGCATCCGCAGCGGCGGCGGCCGCGAGTCGTTCCTTCTGACGACTTCGATCGCGCAGGTAGCCAGCAGCTTCTGGCCTCATACGAAGAATTCGCAAGATCATGTCATCATTTGGTTCGGCCTGAGCTTCGCGCCACTTTTCCTCCTTCATCTTCTTCATTGTGCCAAGGTTCCGCGAGAGCATGATGCTCTTGGCTCGCCGGGCACCAGGAACGCCGAGAAATCCGCCCTGTCCTCCAGAACCAATATGGGCTGGCGCGGACGCTCGGTTTTTATTGGCCTGCTGCCGAGATATGGTTGCTGAGGCCATTCTCTCAGAGGTGCGAATAAGATTCTCGGTGGGTTCAAAGTAAAAAAAGTTCAGAGATTGGATCTCGTGATACTTGGGTGACTTCAAGATATCAATCGAAACCCCGTTTGCTTCACCAGTCTCTTCATCGATAGCGTGGAAAAAGTTCAAGAGCAGCACGAGCCAGCGTGAGACTATATCAACCTCCTGCATCGTGAGAGGTTTCTGATGGGATGGCTTGTCCGACAAAGGAGGTACAAGCAAGCACTCAATAGTGCTAAGAACTTCTTTCCATAATCGAGCCATGACCATTTTCATGGCTTCAGATGTCAAGGTCTTGTTCATGATCGCAAAGTTATCATTGAAGTAGTCGAAAAGCGGAGTCAGAGCATTCTCCACATCCGCGTTTGATGGTCCTGTGGCAGTAGCTTGCGCCTTATTTCGACTAAGAAAGTTGGAAACACTGGAGATACTGAGACCACGCGATAGTAAGGATTTTAGGGTTCGACGCGACAAACAGTGGCTGATATAAGCAGACAGCTATTGGCTGTGTTAAAGACGATACTTGTTATTAAGACTCCAGAGCACTTACCTTTTCCGTGATTTTGCGTGTCATATCTCTTTCCGTACGTTTCAATGTGCGGAAGGCTTTGCCAAAGTAAAATTGGATGTCGTCCCGTTCCCCCTCCATGCTGACACGGAGTAGCAATCGACCCTGTGTATCCAAATCAAGCCAATATTCCTTCGGCAAGAAATCACTGAAATGTAAAGGATCCAGTTTGATAGAAGTGCGACCGACATAATCGTGGTCGCCCACTGCATCCCAGTCCCATATAGTTGCAATGATGTTCAATGGACCCTGCGTTGTTATATCAACAGAATCATCCCATCGCGGGTTGAGATTGTTGTAGATGATACGAGTTTTGGCAATGCGCTTCTGATACTCGTCTGTCAGCACCACATATGGGTCACTGCCCCCATTCATATCACAGGCTTTCAAATCTTCCGCTTCTACGACCTTAATCGTGAAGACATAGGTGGTTGATCTGCGCATCTTCTGCATCTGTGGAGGAGCATGTTTGGCGATAACATCTGCACAGCCATCAACGTTTATTTCACGCTCTAGCTTGTCAAGCTGGGTAAGGGCATATTCAACATTGTTCAGTTTGACCAGTGACTATAGAATCGTCAACCATGTGAAATAAACCTGACCGGGTAATAAAAAGAGAGATTGGAAAGTCTAAGTTTTGTTGTTTGGGTGTGAGGAGGGGAGGGGGGAAGGGAAATAAAGGGACGGCATACCTCAGGAAAGAATTGGAATGGCTCAATCTTCTCTTTGCTTGCCCACGCCTCTTTGGCGATTTGCATCAGCTTTTCCTGGGCTGTTTGATTCATTGCCGCCTCTTGATCCGGTGAGAGCCTGTCCATTTCTCGTGCGAACATCTGCTCCAATGACTCGCAGTACTTTGCAAGACCATTTGAAATCGATTTGGACAATGCAGTCATGAATTTCGCGTACTGAAAATCATCATCCCACCCGAGTTGAATCATCTGCTCTACCACCTGATTGAATGAGCGGAATATGTCTATAACGGAAACGCTGTGCCGATGCTCCTCAGGAATCATTTCCGTTGAGTCATCAGCTCGGACGGCAAAGGCATCTTGTCTGACAGCTTGCTCTACCCACTCTGTAATCTTCTCCTCTGTCATGCGGATCCAACGCCAGACGAATTCTTCCAGCAAATCCTCAACACGGAACGGAAAAGAAGCGCTGGTTTCACGTTAGTATCGACACTTCGCATTGGTAGCGGTGGGCCTACCTAGGGAGTGCCTCAATGAATAGTTGCCGTATAGCTGTGAGTTTTTTATATAAGTCAAAACCATCCTCCATTGGGATTTCCTCTCCTCTCAATTTGCCCTGTTCGACTATTCGGGCCACCATCTCATGAGCGTCTTCTGCGAATATCGGAAGCACATTTGAAAGCAAGATCTGGTACGGATTGACCCTGCATTGTGTGAGTAGAAGACTGTTATTCGTGACAATTGCATCTTACCCCATGATCTCCGGATTATTTCGGTAGCGCTTCCTAATCTTCTGGGCAAGTTTTGTTATGGCCTCACAAAGCTGAATGATATGATCGAATTCCCAGGTCTCCTGATCCATTGGGACATACTGTCCGAGGAGGTCTTGATATTTTTCTGTTGCTTTCTGAGCGAGGCCATCCTGAACGTAACAACGAAAACGGTCGATATCCTCCAGGTCCTCTGTGTAGCAGGGATCAAGCTGAATATGATTCTCTAAAACATACATTACTGGACCAATAGGTCGAGGTTTTCCTTCGTAACAGTCCATCATAACGTCGTATAGTTCCCTCAGAAGTGCTTCATGGAGAGAGGAGAGTAACTGCTGCATCGAGAGCAAGTCGTGTACAGTCCACTTGTGTCGGTCAAAGAGAACGGTAGCTACGAAGCTACTGCGCTTTTTCTCTGACGATGGTGTCTCCTTGATATAGGTAAATGCTGAATCAAGGGTGTCGAGATCAATCTCGTTGTCTACAAATTTCGAACGGACAACCTCCAGAAACAGAACTAGCCTAGAGAAGTGGGGGATTCGCCAACGAAGGCAAACTTCGTTTAGGAACTCGGCTGACTGCTTCGAGAGGAGCTTCATAGACGGAAGTTCAGACGTAAATTGTGTAGTTTCAGTTTCGCGATCTTTCAGGTCATGGCTCAAAGTTTGAGCCAAAATATACCTATACATAGATCGGGGGTCCGGTGGTATGTATGTGTATGTGTCAGATTCATCGGATTCACTGTTGTCATCGCCCATTGATAGCGAACTGAGATCCACTGGTTGGTCGATTACATATGAA